CTTATCTTTTCCTGATCCTTTTATTCTATACAGGGAGAGAAATTTATGTCAGTTAAAAAAATCTATTACTGCTTCTCATAACAGAATCCATTATTTTTCTCCATGATCCATCAGAGTAAAAACAAGAACAATAGATTGCTTTGACAGAACCTTGAACATAAATGTCCCTAAGAATCAAACACAGTAAGTTAAATGAGTTTCAGGTAGTATTAAAACAGGAAAGGTTTCTTTTCCTTATATGTTTCAAATGCAGAACTTCCTAAACATGTATTATTATCAGTTACAACAAAAAGATAAATATACAGTAGTTTAATTTGCATATATATATATATAATTTAACTTAATGAAATGAATTTGGGTAAAGGACTTTTTAAAAAGCTTTTTACTAATTAGTTATTTATAATGTATACCCTGATTGCATTATACACAGTGACTTTGAATAAATAACTGAAGACCTCCTATACCCAGTCAACTTATTAAACATATTAATGTTACCTTTATCTCATCAACATGTTCACTTCTGTAAGTACTTTCATAGCTTTTAGTTCTACATAATCCATTTAGTCTAAAGTCTCCATAAGGATTAGTGTATTGAATTAGAGTATATGCATATATTTATGGATGATATATATGAAGAAAGTTGGGGGAGAAAAAGAGGAGATGAAGATAAAGTCATGTATTTAACAATTCTAAAAGCTAATTCATCCTGGTGATGTTCTTAATGTATACCTATCAGGATCTACTCTCTAACTGTATTCAAATAAACCAATCTTTCTACTTATCTCCAGGGAAAGTAACTGCAATTATTAATCTCAATTGTCATCTTGATTGGTTTGGAAGCTGTGCAAAAGATTAGTAAAGCACACTGCTGTGTGTGTCTGGGTGGGTCATAGAGGGCTGGCCTTGGGCTCTATACCTGATCCCTGGCCACTCCCTCTCAGAGCAGAGCTCCTCTGCTCTGTTTCATAACCACCATGAATTAATAAGCTTTGATTCACCACACCCTTCTTTTAACCAGCCAAAAAATGGACTGAGTCCTCTGAAACTATGGTTGTCAATTTTTTTTTTGATAATGGGAAATCTGACCAATAGAGAAAATCAATACCAGAAATAGTGTTGTTACTGTGATCTATCATACGAAGTAGTTCAGAAACCTCTGGAATTGGTTTGCAGGAGTAATTTGGAAACGTTTAGAGATGTAGGATGGAGAAACCCTAGAATACTATGAGCAGAGGCTGATTAATTATTCTAGTTAGAGCACAGATGACCAGAATGCTAATAAAAATGCAGACATTAAAGACCAGGCACCAAATAGTTTTAGGTGAGGACTTTATTGGGAATTTGACTATAAGCCATGCATGTTACATTCTGGGAAAAACACTTTATTTTCATTTTCCCCATGTATCAATCAGAGTTTTACTAGAGGAACAGATATAACACAAGATGTACAAATGTATAAGAAACTAAAAAGCTGGCTTATGATGGTCAGCCACAGAATCAGATAAGGAAGCATGCAGAGGGTGTTGGCACACTAGAGACCGAAGAAGTCAGTCTAAAGTCGAGCTCAATGCAGTGTTCCATGCAGGTCTGTATCAGAAGGCCAGCGGCTCTGCAACTGAAGGTTGATGAGTCTACAGTGGAAGGCTGAAGGATCCAAGGCAGAAGCCAAAAAGTCTGTGCTAGAAGCCAGGAGACACATCCAAGCTGTGAAGACTGGAACTTCTTGAGGAAATGGAGTGCTCCATCCTTCCTCAATTCCCTTTCATATCCTTTAAGCAATGAGTCACTGTAGCGTGGGACCTCCACACAGTGTGTGTGGTATTGCTGCGCTGCTTTATTTAAGCTTTTAACTTCTCAAGTTGACACAGTCGATCTACCACTATACCCCATAACCTGTGACTTTGCAGAAGGGTATTTGAGGACTATGAAGTAATGGATGTAACAGGAAATTCCAGACTGTGGTATGGATAATGCTGGCTGCTTTTATCCATATTTATATTGATAGCCAAGAACAAAGAGCAGATAAAAAAAATTGAAAAAGTTAAATTTTGTCCCAAAGGGAACCATATGTAAAGTTGGGGCTGAAAGAGGTGTGTTTACATAAGACATTAATGATGTTTGGGAGAAATCAAGTACTTTGCACTAGATGACAATAGAGATGCATTTAGGGCATATTGGAATTAGCACAACCCACCCATCATGGAATCAAAAATGCAAAAGAATAAATCTTTTATTTGAGAAGAGTCCCTGGGTCCCCATACAAAGAAGGGCCTCCTACGGAGCTGGTTTCATAGGTTTCATGTCACAAACTCAGCCATCCAGGCATACAAAGTCTGCAACAATCACACTCCAAAGGAGCCTGAGTATATTTGTGCTGGTAGTAAACTTTTGGACTGTCCATGTGATGCTAGGCATGCAGAAAGTGAGTGCTGTGGGATCATGGAGGTTTTCATCCAAATTTCAAGGGAAGATCTGTGATGACAGGTAATGTACCCAGGGGAAATATACTTAAAGATGTGGACATGAGGCTGAAGTTATAGTGGGAACCCTAGGAAGTTGAAAATGCCAAGAACATAAAATATCTACAGAGGAAATCCACAACTGGTGACAACTGGCAGTCCAAGAGGTTATGTGAGCGGAAGCTAACAAGGCCACACAGGTGGGTTTACACAAGCACTCTGGAACTCATATCTTACAACCATGTTCCCCAGATGCCGGCCATGCAGCTACAGCACCTAATTTTGCCATGGGTTTCATTCTGTTCTTTTCTATCTCCCTAATTTTCCCTAAGTAACCTGCTCTTTAATTGTTACTAGCGTTCACAGATAAAGAGTTTTTCTTGAGGCTCAGACAAGACTTTGAAGCTGTATTTTTTAGCAGAATCAAAACTTTTGAGACTGGGGAAGGAATTAGAGTTTTTTAATGTTTACACAGGATAGTTACATCATGTTAGCCAGAAGTATGACCTTGCTATTGTCTGTATGAGGTGATTGTTTTAACATGTATTTGGGTGTCAAACTGACAAGCAGTACAATATGATAGCTAAGTTTAGTTGCCCACTTTACTTGTTTAGGAGCTATTAAGGGAATTTGTAAGCACATTTCTCCAAGTATCTGGGAAGGCATGGAGGTGTGGCCTTAGTGTCAACATCTGGTCCCTGGCCCCTTCACTTCCATGGTATTTTCCTGCTGTATTTGTTGGTTACCATCATCTATCAGTTTGGTTCTTCCAAGCTGTTCCACTGTGCTCTTTCTATCTTGAAGCCATCTAACCAATAGACTGACTCTTATGAAATTAGAAACAAAGTAAATCTCTTTTCCTTTAAGTTATGAGTTTCAGGTATTTTTCTAACAATAAGAAATCCAACAAATGCAGTAACATTCCCAGTTTCTGTGGCAGGCCTTCTTCTAAGCCAATCAACACAGAGCATTCACATTATGATATTATTGGTCCAAAGCTGGGCATGCAACTCAAAGTTTACCTAAACAGAAAAATGAGAATGATTTTCATAAAGCTTTCAATAGAAGTTTCTCATTTCTCCTTCTAGATGATGAAAAAAGAACAAGGAGTCTCAGTTGCCACTGGTTGTCTCTGTGACCATGACAATGTTCATGCTATGGGGGATGTTTAAGAGAGGACTTGAGTCTTGGTTGACAACATTGAGGTATGAATAGTAGTGCGCCTCAAGCCTCCCTACCTTCTGTCTCACAGCTAATATAGTTTATAAGCTGTAATCCCAGTTATGTTGGAGGACAGAGCAACAGGATCACAAATTTGAGTCTAGTTTGGGTCACATAAATACATCCATCTCAGAAAAATAAAAAAAGAGAGGAAAACAATTTACGTATGTGTTGTCTTTCCCACTCTAAATGAAACAGCTTGTTCAGATGCACTATTCTCTTTTAATACAGAGGAGAGAATATACACACAAGAATATGTTTTCTTGTGGCTTGTTTTGCTCATATTGCTAGGTATCAAAAGATATTTGAATATATATTTGACTAAAGCCACCCTGGAGAACTATTGCTAGTCATCTAACAAAACAGAGAATTTGATATACCTATTTTTAAGATGACAACAACATTATTACCAAGGATAATGTATATTTAAGATAGTGAAAACCCTCTTGACATACTAGTCCAAAAAATATGATAATCAGTCATTACTCCTAGCCTCTAGATCTGAAACAGAGTTAACCTGTCTAGTTCATTTGAAACTGGCCTACCTGCCTAAAATATTTTTAATTACACAGAAGACCATAATGACCCTACCATTCTGCTCTTATTTTGCTAAACTACTTTAGTTCTTATTTCTTAGGTTTTGTGAGCTATTAGGTACTTCTTCCATATTTACATACATAATAATTTATCAGCTTTACAACCTGATTCCCAGCATTAACAGATTAAAACTACTGTAAAGACTCTCACAAAAAAAAGACTCTCAGAAGACACAATGAGGTATAGAAAAACTCCATCATTTCCTTCTACAAAATGAAAAGGATTTTAATTCTTTTTCTAAACAGCTGCTTCATGATTTTATACATAGGAAAAATATGTGCAATTACTTCAAGTACAATCAAGTCATTTAACATAGCTTTGCCATCATTGTAGTTACAGGACATTTTGAAAAAGAAAAAATTTCTCACTGCACAGGTCCTGCTGCACAGTGAAGCAATCAGTTTCCTTCATAATAACAGCCTGATGGGATTCAGCAATTCAAGTAACACTGAATAACCAGAATAATCAGTAAACAGGAAAATGCTATACTCACCACTGAGTAAAGACTGACTATTATCTGTTCATTCTTTTGATCAGCATTCAAAACAATAAATAGAAATATAAGTATCTCTTAAAAAGAAAAACAGCCAGGCATGGTGGTGTATGCCTGTAATCCTCAGCACTCAGGAGGCTGAAGCAGGAGGATCACTGCAAGTTCAAGGCCAGCCTAGGTTACAAAGTGAGCTCAAGACCAGCCTGAACTGCATAATGAGACCCTGTCTAAAAACACACACAAAAAAAGAAAGAAGAAAAAAAAATAAAGAAAATAAAACTTCATTTAGTATGTGTAATTTTACTGTACCATGAGAAAATGATGTATCATCTTGAACTATCCTGTAGTATTTTTCATCAATAAAATGCACATGAGTATTATTTTAATAATGCATGACCAGATTTACCCTATCATCTGACTATGTCAAGATAAACTGATTTTTGCAGTTGGTTGATTGTATTTCTGGACTGATTATTCAGTTGTTTTATTTTTTCATTATTTCTTCTTCAGTATTCATCTTACTAAGTTATTTGTTTCTGAATATGAGTCTGCCTCAAAATAGTCCTCAAGGTTCAAGTGCAGTCTCTGAAATGTTGGCCGTTCCTTAGGTTCTTCCTTCCAGCACTCCAGCATGATGTTATAGAATTTCTGAGGACAGTTAGTTGGTTGCGGGAGTCGATAGTTTTGACGCAACATCTGGATTACTTCAGCACCTGTCCTGCCTAAAAATATACAATGGAACATACAGAATGCAAAAGGAAAATCAGAATCTTTAAATCATAGATACTTATACCCCAGGTCACAAAAGAAATTGATTTCCTTGGTGAAGCTATGAGATCTATCATCTCCTTCGAGAGACTAAATAAAATCCTGCAGCAAATAATGTCTATAAGACTGCAATTCAAGAGAAAAGGAGAAGGAAGCAGTAAACCACCTCATTAAAGCAAATTATCTTCATCAAATTTTATCTTATCAAGTTCCCACAGGTACCAGGTAGGGCTAACCTCATAAATCTGCCCTCTAAGACTGGGGAACACAGTTAAAGTAACAACCAAGCAACTGACCTGCATCAGAAAGGCCCATTTCAGAACTAATTACTCACCACTATAAGGCATTTTGCCGTAAGTAATAATTTCATAAAGAAGAATTCCAAATGACCACACATCAGACTTAATGCTAAATTTATTAGTCTGAATAGCTTCAGGCGCAGTCCACTTCACGGGCAGCTTTATTTCTTCTTTCTGTTCATAGATGTTTTCATTATCTACCTGCTAATACATTAAGGATTCAAGCCAAGTTAAAACTTTTTTTTTTGCTGTCCTCTTTCATTTATAACCTGTTTCACATTAAACTTTAGGAAAGAAATATAAAAACTTAGCTTAGATAAATTGATAATAATTGATGATTACAGTTGCAGTTCTGAATATAACATAAGACTGAAAAATCTGTGGGAGGTCATTAATAAAATATGAACTAAGAGCCTAAAGGAGCATTTATTATTTTATTATTATAAAGAAATTCATACATGATTCTTGCTTTATGTCTGATATTTAGCATTTTTTAAAAATGAAGGCATAACTTATTTTTTTATTTAACTCCTAGTACTGAAGTTACCAATTTTGATAATTACCATGTAACCATTTTCTAATACCAAAAAGTAGAATCTCAGTTATTTAAATTAATATATCACATCATTGTCCTAATTAATTTATACAAAAAAAGATGCTGCACTCATGAGGATCTAAAGGGTATAACATGGTAATTTAAAGTTAAATTCAGAAACTGTCTCATTGCTACATCTTGCTCAATAAAATATAAAAAAAAATCCTAAGTAGAAGAGAGTGTTCAAAAACTAGGCATTCAATAAATAAATCCATTATAGTTTAAGTTTTAAAAAATAAAGTTAAATTCAGAGATAGATACCTCATGTCTTTATTTTGATATCTTTTGCACTGATATAAAAAAAATTAGTTGGGCAGGGGAACTGTAAAGCCAATGGTGATGTAGAATTCTGCAACAAGTAGATTAGCCTGACATGTTGTGAACAAAGTCAGAAAAGTAACTATGCCAAGGTATGGGACCTTATATGAGGGCAGGTAGGATAACTCTACATAAATATTTTAAAATGAAGGCAAAACAAATAGAGGCCACAGGTACTAACTGAAAAATAAAACGTAAGTTCAACCACAAAGTTAATTACATACATTTCAGCCTAGTTGATCACTGTATTCTCTAAGAGTTTTGATTTAAAAACAAAATAGAAATAGGTAGTATTTAAGGTCTTGGGTAATTTCAAGTGGTACATGAACCACAGCGCGTGAAGAAACATTTTAAAGAATAACAGTGAATCTTTTGGTCTATTTATCTGTTAGATTTTTAACCTACTGTAAAAACTAATTTTAAAAACTAATTTAAACTGCATTAAAACTACCTTAAAAACTCTTGCAAGTCCAAAGTCTGCTACTTTGTAGATATTGTGTTCACCAACGAGGACATTTCTGGCAGCCAGATCTCTATGAATGTAGTTCTGTGACTCCAGGTAAGCCATTCCAGAAGCCACCTGTGCTGCCATGTCTACTTGTTGAGTCAGATGGATTTTTGACCCCGCATCAACTAAGGAAGAAGAGAAAATAGGAAATATATACCTTGGAAAATATTTGAACTACCAAAATTAATTCTGAGAATTTGATTAATCCATTATAGATGGAATTCTCTGCTAAGAGGCTGATCACAAGAAAGAAGCAAAGGTATCATGTAATCCAAACGTGGTACAGTTATCACAAAGAGTCCAGTTACTTTCATCCATAAAAATTAAATTTCAAGGGTGCTGGGGAGATGGCTCAGTGGAATAAGCACCTCCTGCGCAAGCACAAGGGCCTGAGTTCAATCCCCAGTTCCGGAAAAAAAAAGAAATTAAATTTCACAGTCATTTCTTAGGTGGAATTTGTTCCTTGAGAGCTTCAAAAACTCTTTTAAATATTACATAGTTTGGGGCTGGCCTGATAGCTCAGTGAACTAAAGCACCTGCTTAGGCAGAATGCAGAAGCTGGAGTCTGATCCCCAGCGTGCCGTGCTGGCCCGCCCGCGGAACATGCCGAGATGGCTACAGAGGCTGGGTGTGGTGACAAGCACCTGTAATCCCAGCACTTGGGAGGCTGAACACAGGAGAATCACTGTGAGTCTGATCTGTGTAGTGAGATGCTGTAGACCCTAAATACAGAAAAAAAAATTACACAGTTTGTCTTAATCAAGTCACAGATACACCCTAATTTGTATAGCTAAACTAGTGAAAAGTTCTTGTCTCTTCATCAGATTTTTTTCTTTAAAACGATCTAATAAAAATTAAAGTTATATAAGTAGTTATGAAATATGCATATTGTAGCTGAGCCACCAAGCTTGATATACTTTTTAAGGACTCTTTTCTTAGTTTATTATTATTCACTGCTCATTGAATAGAACTAAGAAAAGATGATGTGGTGCAATCACTTTGTATCATGTGCAAAAGTGGTAAATTTTATTTTTTGCAAAATTTCTGAAATGAGATACATATGTTACAATGGCCAACAGAAACAAGAAACATTCAGGATTTGGAGGAAGACTTATTTACACTGAGGGTACTCATTAGGATCATTCCAACTACCTTGCCAGAGTAATGTCACAAAACAGACAGGCCTAAATTCTACTTGGGCCTTGACTCAGAAGATCATGTGTAAAAAGCCCAGCAAATATTTGCCAGGGGAACTAAAAGAGGGGGAGATATAGCACAAAAATGCCCCCCACACTACAGCCAGTATACTTGTTGCCTAAGTAATAGCTGCTGTTTCAATTCCAGTTGTTCCTATCTCTTAGAAATAGTTAAACTATAATGTGTAGCTGGTCACTATGATTCGCATTGCACAAACCAGTCCCCAATTGATAAGCTAGTCTGTCTCTGTAATTCCTTCTTGCTTATATCATGTAAGCCTTAGACTACTACAGATCAGGTGTTATTCTTGGAATGATCTTAATCAGTAGCCATCAATGTAAACAAGCCTGTCTCCAAATCCTGAATATTTTCGTGTTTCTGTTGCCCACTGTAACATATGTTACATTTCAGAAAGTTCACAAAAAATAAAATTCACCACTTTTGCAAATGATTCAAAGTGATTGTACCATATCCTCTTTTCTTAGTTCTATGCAAGAAGCAGTAAAATCCTTAAAATTAAACGTATGTCTGCACTGCATTCTATGCTGAGAATAATAAACTAAGAAAAGGGTCCTTAAAAAGTATGTCAAGCTCGGCACCACAATTGCAATATGCATATTTCATAACTACTTATATATATTTAATTTTTATTAGATTGTTTTAAAGAAAAAAATCCGATGAAGAGACAAGAACTTTTCACTAGTTCAGCTATACAAATTAGGGTGTCCCTTTGACTTGATGATTAAGACAAGCTAAGTAATACTTATTTTTTTTTTAGAAAAAGTAAATGTTGTTAATCAGAAGGCTTTTCACTTTTCTTCCAGTCAATAACTGTATTCTTCATCTTCCCTAATGACCTTGGTTGTCCCTTGCCTTCACATTTGTTTATTTGGGTTGTCATCCATAAACAGTAACTTTCCTCCCAACATATACCTATGCAGCAGTTCTTTTTAGCTTTATCTATTCCCTCTTAATTTCTTTATTTTTAAAATTTATTTATTTAGTTTTGAGGCAGGGTATCACTATGGAGTTCAGCCAGGCCCTTAACTTAAAGGAATCCTTCTGCCTCACTTTCCTGAATACTGGGATTACAGGTGTGCACCGACACTTGGTCACTTTAGTACAATTTTCTAAAAGAATGAAGAAATTACTGAGAGTGAAACAGTAAATAAAATGTCACATTAACAATATTATGACAGATTTGAAAACAGATATATCCATCATATTGACACTACATACTATAGTCACATATTTGATTTAAAATATATTTTTGGAATGGCTGACAGAGTAAAACCCAATTCTTATATCATCTCTGAGATTCACCTTTTGTTCATGCCACACAATGGGATTTAGCAAGGCTAAAAGAAGGGGATCCACAGAGATAAAAGAGGGAGAAAAACACAAAAAGAGAGAGAAAATTCTATAAAAAATAGAATTCAGGCTTTGACCTAAAAGAAAGAACAAAAAATACTTTATGAGCTGAAGACCTCTGTCATACAGCATGGTGGTTGTGGTTAATAAAGTATTCTATATTTGCAAATTGATAATAGAGATTTAAATATTCTCACTGTAAAATAATAATTATGTGAGATGGCAATGTACTCACTACTGCATCAAAACATCATTTTGTGCATCATAAATATATACTACTACAACTTCTGACATTACCAGTCCTACGGATAACCCACTACTATTATGGACTACTGGACTATACTAGATTATTTTGCTGAATCCATGTACCTACAGTATTTGACTGGCAATGGAATATCCAACTCTGACAAAACTAAACAAAAAAAGGAGATACAAATGAAGGACCATTTTGTATCTGTATATACCAAATAGGATATACAGCTACTTAATCTTAATTCAATGAGAAGAAAGATTTGAAACAATAGTGTTTGGACAGGATGTCTGCATCTTGAACTATGAATAACCACTATGAAGGCAACAATATACAATGTATTAATTAGTGGGAGGGCTTCCGGCTACCCTGCGCTGGAGGGACCTACTGGTCCCGGCCCATGCACATTGTGGGTGAGACCCTCTTCTACCCCCTTGGGATGCCCCCCCACACCACTCTGCAGCACATCCCCCACCCAGCCCACCAAGTAGAAATTTCTGCCGTGCTCCGAGAATCCCTGGACCCAGTACTAGCCTAGGCCAGGTGAGTGTGTGGGACAACTTCCGGCTAACCTGCGCTGGCGGGACCTACTGGTCCCAGCCCAGGTGCAGCATGGGTGACACCCTCTTCCATCCCCTTGGGACGCCCACCACCACTACACACCTCCTCTCATACCCCGCCTGCCCAGTAGAAATTTCTGCCTCGTTCCGGGAACCTCCAGATCCAGTCCTAGACCAGGCCCTGTGAGTGTGTGGGAGAGCTTCCAGATACCCTGTGCTGGCATGACCTACTGGTCCCAGCCCAGGTGTAATGTGGGTGATACCCTGTTTCACCCTCTTGGGGCACCCATGATCACTCCGTAGTAACCCACACACCCCTCCCACAGAGTAGGAATTTCTGTTACGTTCCAGGAACCCCCAGATCCAGACCTAGTCCAGGCCCAGTGAGTGTGTGGAAGAGATGCCTCTCCCCACTACTCCACCTTGTCCCCTCCAGACACAGCTTGGGCCTGGCCTACAGTTCTGGGGTGAAACTGTAGCTGCAATCCCTGCAGAGAGTGTAGGGGACAGAACCGCCCAGCTAGTTCAGGAGCAGAACATCTTTCCAGAGGGGCACAACAGGTTCACCCTCAAGGGTAGCAGCAGAAAGGAGCTGAGCGCAGCAGCCTGGCCCAAGCTAGGCACAGCTGGACAAAACCAAACTTGGTAGATCTGCACCTAAACTCCAATAGGTGCGAAGGTTATAACTGCAACAAAGATCTACAATAAAGGTCAGAAGACAGTGCTACACAAAATAACAAAGAGAAGGAGCAAAATGCAATCTCAGAACTCAAGCCTACCCATAACAAGTGCAGAGGACACTAACACAGAACAAATTGGGACTCACAAAGGTGAAAGCAATGGACCAACATCTTATGAAATAAAGAAACAGCTGCAGAAAGGTACAGAGGAACTCAGATTGGAAATTAAAAAAGAAATCCCAGAATTAATATCTGCAGTAAAGAATCAAACGTAGAAACATATAAAGGAAATGCAATGCCTACCCATAATAAGTGCAGAGAACACTAGCTCAGATCAAATATATGACTTAATAGCATCGATACTAAATAAGCAACAGTAGAAAGACATAGATGAACTCACAGTGGAATTCTATTCTACCAGCTCAGCTCAAATGTATGGGTTAATAATGTCGATAGTAAATAAGCAACAGCAGAGAGTTATACAGGAACTCAGAGCAGAATTCTTTTCTGAAATAAAAAAAAAGGATTCTCAGAACTCATAGCATCTGAAGAATCAACTACAGAAACACAGGGAGGAAAACCAATCAGAAAAAACAATGCATTAAAGAATTGATAACTGCTACTTAAGAAGACGTTGATAAAAAAAAAATAGAGGAGATTAGAAAAATGACGGATTCCTTGAATGAGCAATACAGGAAAGAAATAGATCGCATGAATCAGAGTCAAAGAGATATAGAGGAAATTGAAATTTCAATTACAAGCTTGCAATAACATTTAAGTGAAAGTGAAGACAGAGTTTGAGAACTTGAAGCTGAATTCTCTTTACAAACCATGCAGGCAAGAAGAGCATGGAGCAGAGTACTTCAAGTCCTCTATGAAACAAATTCCAGGAGTGTGCGGAGAGCTTCCTGCAACACTGCGCCGGTGGGACCAGGCCCAGCCCAGGCGCAGAATGGGCCGGACCCTCTCCCACCCCCTCGGGGCACCCCCCAACACTCCTCAGAACCTTCCCCACCCCCGGAACCAAGTAGAAATTTCTGCTGAGTTCCAGGAACCCCCAAACCCAT